GAGAGTATGATCCTGCTTCTGAGTGTTCAGTTGTGTTGAGATTACTCCATAAAGTACAATTAAATTATAACAGTGTGTATTCTGTTACAGAGAGTGCTGCCCCAAGCTTTTGGTGCATACTATTAATCACTCAGATAATTTTATAGCTCATGTGTAGATAGGTCTTTTGAAGTTTATGAATACTTCTCAATGATAAATATAGATCTGATATGACATACTTTTTCTTAAAGTAGTGTTTGCTGACAAAGAAGAGCCTGTGGGAAACTATGAAAAGAGTCACCATCTGTATTTATATGTGATCTAAATATATATTTTTTATGGATTTTTTGTGTACTTTAGAAATTATGAATTACGGAGCTAAAGGAGAAACCTTAATAATACCATACTTCAATGCCAAATGAGTAAACAACATTTTTTTTCTGGAAATATAATGTATTTGGCATCTGTATATATTTATTCTTTGAAGTGAAAACTTTTAATAAACCGAAATGTTCTATATATTCATTAGCAGTACAATTCTTCATGTAAATATCAGGTATCTCTTTTTTGTACTCTATATAGTATGTATTGGATAATAATTTCACTTTGTTAAGTCAGATACAACTAAAGAACTTCAATGAATTTTTCATTAGGGTCAAACTAATTTAAACAAAGAAAATGACTGACGAGTCTGCATCTAGTAGATGCTAAGAATTCAAATGAAATGCATAGCTTAGCTACGGTCCAAGCTTCGTGGGAATATGTGGAAAGATGTATGGAGACCTGGGACTGAACTGTTGTGCTCATATTTAGCAGTAGTTTGAACCACTGCCTGGATAATAGAAAAGATTTTGATGGTAAGAAAAATGTCACTTTCTTGCAACATTGGGAGGCACCCTCCCTGGAAATAAAAAAAAAATATTTAAAAATATCAACTGAAGTAGAAAAGTTATTTGTATTTTATATAAAGTTTGTCTTTTAAAGGTTTAACCTTCTGGATTTAGCTACCAACAAGATAAATAAAACATTAGGACAGGGGCTTCACAAGCACCGTAGGTTTAGAATATTTTTGCTGGTGTCTAATGCTCCAAGGAGTCTTCCACAGAGAAGAGAGACTGAATGAAAACTTTAAAATTACCCATGTTGTGATGGCTTCAACACATGCAAGAAGATTTTTTGCTTAGGTTCTGTATAAATAAACATTGTATCTACACATGTCATGTTCAGATGAAAAGAAATAAAATAAATTTCTGTTCTATGAGGATAAGAGTGACAGTTTATTATAATGGTGTGTGGTTGACAAATGCAAGGTGAACTTAAGACTCCTATTCTTACTTTCCTTTCTACTTTTTGTATTTTTTTTTAAATATACATCTTTGCCTTTGACCATGTGTGTTTGCCTGACAAGCGTTGCTTGGTTATGAATTACTCTACCCGAGAGACCTTGAACAAATACAGAATTCATGTTTGAAAGGTGTTTTTATAGTAGCCGCACTGCTCGCTAGCAAGGCTGAGCTGGTTGTCAAGGCCAACTTTTTGAACCCTGCAGGTGGGTGAACAGAACAGGAATTACCATTTGTACTGAGGTAGTGCATAACGGGCTTATACTGTGAAGTTGGCATCTTTCTGCCACTCTCTGAGCAACTCAAAATCTTGCCAAAACATGGTGATTAGACTACAGAAAAGTTTCTGAAATCCCTGGAAAAAGACAAATGGTAATCCGTATCGTGAAGGAAGCAAAGACATGGGGTTTTAAGGAAACAAACCCAGGGAAGGAAAGGAGTCCAATTGAAGGTACAAGAAACAGAGACTTGCTTGCTAGATTTTTATCTTATTACATTTTCTTTTATCATTATCTCTTTTTGTTTTCTAATGAGAGACAGAAAGAGGGGATCCCAATGGAAGGGGAGGTGGGAAGAAACTGGGAAGAGTAGAGGGTGGGGAAACAGTAATCACGATATATGAAATAAGGGAAAAACCTATTTTCAATAAAATGAAAAGGGAAAAAAAGGAAGACTAGCAGTGTGTGGCAGAAGCAAGGAAGAATACTTAAGATATAACTCAGTTTGATAGGGATGATAGTATGACTGATGATGACAAAGAATGGAAAATAATTAAAACTCGGAAATTCATATGCCATTTGACTCAAAGCATTGAGATATTTCACCCCCCCCCTTTTATGAATCCTTTGTTCCATTCATCTGGAATACTTGTTCCCTGGAAGAAAACACAGTGTTCACTGCTTCTCTCCTTATTTGTATTTCTGCAATCTAGAGGAGCTTTTCTTTCTTCTGGGAAAATCTTGGCAGGTAAAGTTATAGTTTGTATGTCATTTATTCTCTGAGATGCTCTACATCTCTCTTCAAACCTTACTTTCCCCTTCCTTCTCAATGACAGCATTTATGTTGAGACCTTCAGTTTGACACTTAGCCCATTGCAATGTGGTTCTTTTCAGCACTGATTTGCCAACCTCTATCTTTACTTTGCACCATACAAGGTACCAGGGGAAAATCACCTCGCCCCAAACCCTACTAGGTATGGTGATGCATGCCTACCATCCAAGCACTCAGAAGGTGGATTCAGAATGACTAGAAACTCGAATTCATTCAGAAGATAGAGTCAGGATGAACAGAAATTCAAATTCATTTTCTTGGTGATATAGTGAGTTCAAGGCCAGCCTGCATTATATGAGACCATGTCGTAAACAAAATCCTAGACTTCAAGAAAACTGCAGTCAGACTGGGCCATGGTTGGTTAATGCCTTTAATCCCAGCACTTGGGAGGCAGGGACAGGATGATCTCTGTGAATTCGAGGCCAGCCTTGTCTACAGCGCGAGATCCAGGACAGGCTCCAAAGCCACAGAGAAACCTGTCTCCGAAAAAGAAAAGAAATGAAAGAAAGAAAGAAAACCACAGTCCAGACAGGGAAATAGTAGGGGCATTGCACCACTGTGGTAAGCGGGCAGCAAAGCAGAAGGAGGGCATCTTAAGGTAGATGCATTGCTCTAGTCTAAGGCTAGTTGTAAGAGAAAAGGATTGTCACATGTGATGGTAACATGCGTCACTGTTTATTTTATTTTAAGCTTTGTGGAAGCAGGGCCACCATGCCTCCCTTATCTTGGCATTACATCACCTCACAAGTTCACAGCCATGAGGTTCAAACAGGTCCACGTCTACTTTTAAGGGACGAAGTGTCCAGAAGATAAAATTTGTTTTCTTTTTATTCTTTTTGGTTGTTTGCTTGTGGTAGGATCCCGTTCTTTAGCCCAGGTGGACTTCAAACTCGCAAAACTCCTGCTTCATCCTCTAGGGGATTAGAGGCGTGTGTTGTCCCTTCTGACTCTCAACATCTTGACTTAAAGTCATCCTGCTTTTATCTATAGCATTGCCTGTGTCTGTGTGCTTGAGTGTTTGAAATGAACCTTTTTTTTCCTCCTTAGGCTTTTCAGGGAGATAGACCACTTATAAGGACCCCATTTCTCCAGCACTCTACTCTCCTTTATTTTGGGGTCATCTTTATTTATTAAATGTACAAATGTGTGATTCTTTAACTAACTGATATAAGAAAGCTTCGGAAAGTATAACAAGCTAATAGTATTAGCGCACTTTTGAAAAATAATGTTTTCTTCTTTATGGAAACATGTACTACAAACATTAGCATTGACCTTAAATAATTATTACCAAGATAAAATTAAAAGTATGGATTTGTTATATAAAAGTATTAAGTCCTGTTTGTCAAATGTGTCTTTTAAGGCAAGATACCCGATGGACTTTCATTACATTAAAATTGTGTTTAAAAGAGCAATCCAGAAGAAATGCTTGAAAATATCACACTAATGAATCCTTGTTAATACAATGCTTGCCCGTGACCTCCAGGGCAGCCCTCTCTCTGCCAGCTATCTGGCATCCATATTGATTCTAAATAAAAGAGAATAGACTATGATGCAAAACATTCTAGACTTTCATCCCCATGTTTTCCTCCCAGGTATGACATAAAGAGAACAATATTTAATTTAAAGGGCATAAAAATCCACATCGTCACTATAAATATAGAATACAATTTACAGATGCATCCAGAGAGGAATCCTGTCAGCTCATGACGCAGCTCCTTCACTCTGGCTTTCCAGTCTCAAAGCTTACGTTCCTCAATTCCATATGTCACAGAGAACAGTAAAGACATCTGAATTCCGATATTTTGAAGAAATGTGTATTTAGCAACTGAATACATGCTAAAAAGGAATAATTTACAGCAGCAATATCATTACATTTTCTCTCCAGTTTTCTCGTTCCTATCTGAAACGCAATGACAAATACAGATGCGGAACAATTCTCCACCTGGCAAAACGCATGCTCGTGGGCGCACATTCTCTGCCCTTGAGTAGTACAGAAGCCACCGTGGTACTCGTGTAGGAAAGCTGGCACGCCAGGATGATGTTGCGCACACTGAAATGGAGCATCTATAGAAACCTGTATTTCACACTGCTCTTCCTCATCTTTTCAAAATTATTTACACCTCTTTGCCTAATGTGTAGGTAGCAAAAATATTAAACACATACCATTAGAAAGCATTAAGCTGTACATAGAAAGAGCAGTGTGTGTCTGCATGCATTTCCATGCTACTGTTGCTATCAGCGGGACCTGGTCTCTCCGCTGGGAGGCATCTGAATTTTCAGACTTTAAGACTGTTGAGGTGATATGCTTACGTCACATGCATCTCTTATGCAGGTCTCCCCTGGGATGCCACATGCATATGCCAAAGTCCATCTTGATTAGTTAAGAAGCAGGACATTCATTCTTCGTGCAAACTGCCCTCTCTCAATACACATTGGCAGATTATGACTCTCATTGGACTTATTCTCAAGTTGCACCAATTACTTCCTTTGAAAACTCAGACATGGTGATTGATAAAGACATGCCAGTATATGTCTTTGTTTGCAATACCTTTCATTGAAGCCTAAACTTTTTTCTATTGCTACTTCATCGTGCTAAATCAAATGCATTCAGATTTTGGAAGGCATCCATGAAATTACCATATAATCTTTATTCCTTCTTTTATTGTTAAGAACTAGAAATAAACGAGAGACTTAGTAATCACAAACAAACTTGTTTCAGTTGCAAATTTAGAATGGAACATAACATCAATTGTTCGAATAGATAAAACCCTATGGCTTATATGGAACACCCTGCTTTCTTTGACTTACTATTTCTGACACGATTCTCCTTTAAAAAGTGTGATCTTCAAGGAATTTATTAACTCAGTTTGCCTTTGAGGCTGTTCTTCCAAAAGCAACACTATGTTAGTCAAAGAGCCTAAAATCAGATGTAGAATGTTTTGGAGCTTTTTATTTGAAAGACGTGTCAACAAATTGTTTATTTAAATAGTCATTAAAACTGAAACATGAGCTTCCATCTGTGAAATAGTTCAGTGGAGAGGGAACAACTGTTTACTGCAGTTGAGGTGAGAAATTAATGCTTAGTTAATTAGAATCCTGAGACAACTAGAATTAAAATATCAACGCCACTTCATTAATTAGCAGGAAGATGTTTAATTTGTATTCTATGTATGTGTAAGGATCTGAGGAGGGAGTCCTGAAGTGAAGAATGGAGTGCCAATGAGCTATTCTAGAATGCAGAAAGTTTTATGCAGTTTGAACTCAACGATTCTCTAGAAACCGTCTTCAGCTAACCAAGGGAGCAATTCTGAAGTATTTTGTATTCCTTATTCCTTATTAACAAAACAAGGAGTTTTGCACTGTCTAAGTGAAGTGTGTGTTCTGGAAATAGTTTATAAATTCATTCTCATTGAGATGAAAACACATATGTTCTTCATACGAATAATTGTACTATAAATGGTAAAAAGAAATGTAGTTGATTAAGAAAGAAATGGTTGGGAAGCGTCATTAAGGTGTTCTAAATGTCATTGATCTCTTTCTTTCTCTCTAAAAGTCATTAAAAGATAAAATAATAGAATCCCTGGTGGAATGTGGAATCATGGGAGAGTCCTATGTCTCACATAGCATGCAAATATTCAAGCAAAGAATGAAGAGACATTTTATTAACACTATGATCGGACAATGTGATTTCCATGAGATACACACAGTTCTCTTTTTTCTGTGATCCTTCGCAATGTGTCTAATGAATGTCTTCTTTCCTTCTGTGCTGTCTTAATTTTTCAGTTGGCTAAGAACTTTATGCAACTCACGGTTAACTTAGATAATACCTTAAAAGTGGGGATGGTGGGGAAACCTTCTATCTGTTTGCTTTCCTCAAAGGGAAAAATCACAAATCATATCTTGGTTTCAATAATTAACAGTTAACGGCAAGAGTTGGTATCTAAAGTAATACACTAACCCCTTCAGAACTGAAAACAAAGTGTGAAAAAGAGCAGCCTGTAGTTGAAAGTTTTAAACAAATTACACAGCACAATAAGTGTAAGACAAAAACCTACTCTAGCTTAGAAAACAGCTCCTTTTTACTGCATATTTGTCATGGTACATTTAAATTATAGTTTTAATAAAATACATCTTTAGATCAAAGCTGAAAGAAGACATCAGTAGTAGATCAGTGTATTCCATTCTTCTTCCGGATGATGGCTGGTTTATGTTTGTACATTTCCACACGCTTTTTCACTCCGTCCCATTCTCCTTATCTCACTCCTCCCGTACACACAAACGCGAGTGCCGGGAGACGAAACATCCTGGATTCCAATCACGTTTTGGAATATTCATCTGCTTACTAAATCCATGCAGTTTATTTTCAACGCCCGCTTCAACAACATGGCTTTGCTGATAACAGTTTTTCTACCCTCAATGGCAATATGGCAAGTGACATTTTTTATATTTCTCAGGCAAAGAAGAAAGCAAAATGAACTCTTGGAGGAAATACTAGGTCGGCTGATGTGAGCATCTCTGCTCACCTGCGATCTCTGTCAGGCCTCGGTACTCCGAAGAAAGCCTGCTGGGGAAGTTCCCCACGGCCTGGATTGCAATTGGTGGATCCCAGTTGAATTTCCCACCACTGTAAACATAGTGCCTTGGACATGTCCATCGTGTATTGCATTTTTTCCAGTTATTGTCTAAGCAAGTTTGCACTTGTTGGAAGTTTTGGGAGGTGGTGCCGCTCAGACACTTCTGGGTGCCCTCTCAAACTCGTGGGTCCTCCTGTTTCTACCCTTCTTACTCTCCTGCATGTGCTTCCACTTGTTGCTGCTCCCTTGAGGGTGCCCTGGCCTCTGCCGGCGCTGCTTTCGGTCCCTTTTCCACACTTGTTCACAGAACTCGTCCATCGTGTTCAGGTTCGGGTGGTTGATGAGCTGCATGAAGTCTCTGTACCAGACCTTCTGGCTGGGCGTCAGGCTGCTCGACATTTCTTTGGTCTTAGAGCCCTCGCCGTCGTCATCTTTATGAAGAAGTTCTTCCAAATGGTCCGTGTCGATGACTTCCAGGGTCACCTTCAGCAGAGTTTGCATGAATCCGTGCTCCACGGCGTGACACAGGTAGTTGCCCGAGTCCTTCTTTTGCAGACTGCGAAGCAGGAGCCCTTGTTCTGTCCTGATGATGTGGTCACCCACTCTGATCTAGGAAGGCAGAGGAAAGTGTACAGATTTAAGAGAAATGCAAGGTCTGCCACTCTGCTTAGAAAAACTTGATATTTGTTGAGGTGGGTTTTAGAAATTAACATTTTCAAGTTAAAATGTAAAAAAGTCTGTCTTGGACAAAAAGCAATAGTGTCTACCAATTGTTTCTCAGTTCCCTTTGAAAATTTCTGCAATACAACTGGTTCCCCCCCACCAATGGGACTTTCCAGGCTGTCCTGTTTTTTTTTGTTTTATTTTAAATTGATTTTTATTGAGATCTACATTTTTTTTCTGCTCCCCTCCCTGTTTTTATAGGCTACCTTTTGTTATCAAAAATACCCAGGATAACTGGGGGAAAGCAAAATGATACATTTAAAAGTCAAAAGCACATACACAAATATGATACAAAGTCAATATTAGATAATGAACTGGGAACTACAGGAATAAAAACCCAGAAAACAAAGTATTAAAAAGACTTCATTATATGACTTGTTAAGAACAGAATAACATATCAGTATTTAAGCAAACAGAAGAAAACATGTGTTTTAGGGTTGGTGACTTATTTGTCAGCTGGAAAGTTCTGGGTGTAACATGATCTGAGGGTCCACTCAGGGATACATCTAACCTCTCTTTGACTTTGAATCACCTTCACAATAGAAATCACAGAGAACATAACTAGTAATATACACAGCATCTTTACAGCTTACAATGTAATTCTATACCTAAGAAGGGCTTACTATGTCAAAAGACCCCAAACTAACAGGGGTTGTTTTCACTTTGGCGTTCATATTAAACTTGTAAAATTATATGCACTTAATATATTTTACAAGTGAATGAAGCATTCTGGTCAACTTTATTTAATACTCATAAGTAATTTAAAAAGCTTGGCACTTTCTGTGTGGTTTTCCTTGTTTAAGTTGTTACACTTATAGGGGGAATGTATCTATTGAGGAGGAAGAGCTTCCTCAGGCTGTTTTAATAGTTAGTAGCAGCATACATGGTGGACTCAATTTTTTCATTCTACATCAAGGATGTACTTGATTCTCTCCCAACTTTTTCTCAGTTGCAGAAGTTACACAGAAAGAGAAATGAGCATATATAGCAGAATTCAGTGAGCAAACTCCAAAATTCCAGGGAGGCTTGATTTTTTTTTCTTTTAATTCGCAAACGTAGGATACATTCATGCTTTATACCAGTCATGGCTGTAGTTGGAGTGGCGGGCTGTGGCCCGGCTCCCACATGGCTAGCTTTATACCCGAAATAACAACACACAAATTGTATTCTTTTAAACACTGCTTTGGCCCATTAACTCTAGCCTCTTATTGGCTAATTCTCACATCTTGATTAACCCATTTCTAATAATCTGTGTAGCACCATGATGTGGTAGTTTCCCGGGAAGGATTTTAACCTGCGTCCATCTTGGAGAGGAGAGCTATAGCATCTTCCTCATTGCCTTCTTTCTCTCAGAATTCTGTTCTGTCTACTCTACCCACCTATGTTCTGACCTAACAGGCCAAGCAGTTTCTTTATTAATTAACCAATGAAAGCAATGGATAGACAGATGTCTCTCTTCCATCACATGGCAAGAAATAAGGACTCTGAAATATGTGCCCAGAGTGCTTCCTGGGCAGGAACTCTTACCCAGCTGCATTTGGTTTTTTTTTTGTAGTCTGCTACAAAAGCAGCTCACACTGGGTGCTTGTCTAAAGATCTATTGTTTGATTCTCCACTGTGTTGGGTAAGTATTTTCCTTGCTCCAAGTCAACAGTACCACGGTGATTTAGCATATGTATCAGACAGAAATAATTCAGTCAGCTGAAGTCCCATACCTCCTCCTTCCGATCGTCATTTCGCCTCTGAAATTGCCAGTATACCAAGGCTCTCTGTGACTTTGGACTGCATTCCAAGAACGTGCTACTATTCTCTACTCCATAGATGATTCTCTGCTCAAGGCTGTGCCCATGGTGATTATCTAGGCAATGATAAGAAGGGGAAACAAGAAAATGTTAATTAGTAACTCCATTTTCTAAAACATTTATTTGGAAATGCGGAAGAGAAATTATTGCGTATGTAGAAGTCATTTTCAGGTCAATAAAAGATGAAGAGCAAGTCAAGGATTTCAAAACACAACTACTTGCCTCAGTATATGAATCCTTTTGTTTTGGGTTATAGAGGCAGAGTTTTGTCTACCAGCAAGTAGCATCAAATGAACAGAACTGTGCATGTTCACTATAACCTTGGGTCTTTGTACTATGGACTCAGGACAAGCAGCCCATTTGTTATCCTCTTCCCTGGCAGGAATATTATTAGATTTCATTTTTGAATAAAAGAGCTGTATCTGACAACTCCGTTTGCTGCTTTGTAATTGCTTTTCATCTGTGAAATTAAATTCACCTAGCAATACTATCTCACAGTTTACAAAAGGTAGAGCTCAGAATATTTATGCTCCCCACCAATAACTTCTGAAGAATTCACAAGTTTGTCCTGAAGACCAACTGATGTCAAATGTTTGGGATGGCTCAGTGGAAACTCACATAATTACAATGCAATATGGTTTCAATTGTTCTTATTTAAAAACGACATACCCTTTGTTATTTTCCAGAGTTAAGCTGTGGACCATGGCAAGAGCACATAATAAAAGGCAGCAATACAAAAATCTGTTTCCTGATTAAGTTTCTATTATTTTGCCCTTTTTGTAACCTCCTCCAATGTGGTAACTGAAACATAGCTCAGATCAAAAGTATGACACAGAGAGGCTAGGTAAAACTCAGCAAGAGAACCAAACTCGGGGCTATCTTGTGTAATCCTGTTTCCATTATGACATCCTGAGCAATCTGGAACTCATTAAATTAATTTAGAAAATAATAAATATATTTTCACATGCACAGAGAGCTGACAGTGTAGACAGATGAAAAATTTCTCTTCTCTCCTTCAAATTCCGCTAGGATTTTAATTTTAAAAATATTTCCCCTCCTCTTCGGCATCACTTTGACAGTTTTACTCTTGTCTTAATCAACATAGTACTTTTGTCTGTCATAAGCAATAGGATTTGCTTACGCTAGGCTTAAAGCTTTTGAAAACTTCTATTCTCATCCCTGGTGTAGCCTATGCTTCCCACCGCCCAGCTCTTGGTGTGCAGTAAGGAACGTCTACCACATCATCATTCTGAGCCTCAGCCTCCTCTGTCTGCTTATCAACTGACAATCCTTCTGACCCTGGCACATAGATCTCTCCCTTCTTCTTAGACATCAATGCCCTGAAAATAGCAAAGGATGCAATTTACAATGAAACTAAATGACAATTAGTTGATTCTGATTCACATTGTTTATCACGCTTGGTACATACATATATTTGTATTTGTATGTGTATGTACATGTGGACTTTAAGTTCCATAGTGAATGTGACATGCCTTTCTCCCCTCTCTACATGTCTCTGTGTTACTCTGTAAGACATCTGTTCCCTAGACAGAGGAGAACTTCTGGGTGCACCAGGGCCAGCAAATCTGGGCCTCATAACCTGCCACAAACAATTAGAATGCTTTGCCATGGAAGTCGATGGTGTTTATATTAAGGGTAAACTTGCTAGATCAAGACATGTTTGGACACTTGGAAAGATAGCCTTCACTATATCTCAGTGCTTGAATTGCAACATATATGATGCCACGATAACAGAAAGTCCCACTAACATTCTGTTAACACCCATGTCCTCTGGGCCAAATATTCTCATGAAGGAATCTATAAATACGATGGAACCATCAATAGAAGTCTACGTGTTTTTGCTGACGCATAGTGAAGAAGACCAGTGTGTCTTGATTAGTAGAAGAGATCTTCATTATAAATGGGTGTGTCTGTGGACTGGAGAGATGCTCTGGAGGCCAGAGAAATGCTACTCTTGTAGGTTTGGTGCCTACAGAGCAGCTAACAACTGTCTGTAACTCCAGTTACTAGGCAATCTGGGGACGGCCCCCAGCCTCTGTGGGGACTACACAAACGTGATACACATATATACAGACAGACAAAACATTCATGCGCACAAAATCAAAACACAATCTAACAAAATCAAAATACGTTTAATAGGAATAAAATGCGATATGCAAAAGTCTCAAGTAATGAATCAAAATATTTTTGAAATCGTAGTCTGACTTGTCTCTTTGCCATTTAAATTAAATATTCCTTGTAGTACTGGGTTTTATTTAATTCAGATTTTATTTTCTTTTTAGTCTTTTTATTTCTTTTCTTTATTGTCTTTTCTAGTAGGAACAAAACTTTCTCAAGTAGCAAGAGAAAATCACCCTAGTAACAGGTATGTTCTTATACGGAGAAAAGCATCTCTTCTGTTCTCTTTATATTTAAGGTTCACACAAAATGCTGTATGACTTAACAGAAAATTCATATCATGATGCTTACTGTTCATCTTTGAATGTAATGCTTTTCTTTAAGAAACATGATAATCACCACATTCTCAGTACCCAAGTGAGGGAGCAGCACCTGGCTATTTTGGTTCATGAGCTTGGTGTCTCTAGTTAGTTTGCTTTGATAACTACTTTTGCCAATACCTTAAGGACCGTTTGTCTACTGAGGTGACTCCTGCTTTTTCACCCTTTAAACAAAGAGAAAGAGAAACATCTAGCTAACAACCAGCGGCCCCCTACATCCTGTTCTAATAACTATTTGTCACGATCAGCACAGAGATGTCCTCCGGTATGGCTTCAGTTACAGATTCTCTTATTTGTGTTGTTAGGTTGATTCTCTGCCTCAGCCGGAAAGATAAAAGGTAAATTTCCATTGTTTTCAGTTTTTTTTTTTTTGTGAATTTCTCTGTAGTGTGACCTATGTACCGTTGCCAACTTCTAATCTAGGACTAGAACGTTCACGTAGATGACCTCAGCCAAATGCCCTACACTTCAGTATTCAGAAGCAGTCACTTTGCCAAATTCATATTTACTTCACTTTATGCTTTATAGATGCTGTATAAACATTCTGAACGTGACGTTCAGGAGGAAATGAGGTATCCATTATCTACTTTGACTTTTCTTCCCCCAGCGACTTGCAAAGCACTGGGCAACACAGGAAATGCTGAAGATACAACATCCAAGCTTCACTGTCTCACGACCCCTGTCACAGCAATCCTTTCTTCTCATAAAAAGGGGTACACAGGAGAAATATTATTTCCATTGTTATCTTCTCATCATGCTCTATATTTTGTTCATTATCTATTTTCAAGCATAGTATTATTTTGTAAGAGCACCATACTTTAATTTCATAGAAGACATTGAAGGCAGTTATTCCATTTGAGTCAAATGTTTACCAATGACATAATGTTCATTAAAAGTTTCCTGCAAGATATAAAGTCTTGCGTATTTGGGATTATGTTGTGGGAGGTCCTTCTGCTCCAGCCTATAGCCGCTGAGATACCAGCCCATTGGGGCGTGGTTTCTCTCCCTTTAAAAAAGCTGCCACTTCCCTCTCCTCTCTCTCTTCACTTCCTGCTCCGCAGGGGGCTAGACTCCCTTCCCGGTTGCGCAGAGGGCTGACGGTGATCTGTAAGTTTTTTCCCCTTTAAATAAATACCACCCTATTAATCATAATTCCAAACTGGTGTGGCATTGTTTGTGATTTACGCCTTCAGGATTAGTATAATCTGAAATCTCCCGCTGGATCAGGCAGATGCCCGGAGAGCAGCCGTCCTGCAACAAAGAATGTTAATGGATAATTTATTCTATCAAAGCTGTGTTGGACTGGGAACGTGGTGGGTGCTGAGGACGCCTATAGCAATTCTCTACTGTGCTGCTCACTGGGTTTACTGTCACAACATTCTGAGTCTGGAGCCTGCTGCCTTGCCGTCTTTTCTGTATGTCCACCTTTGGGAAACATTATTTCCTGTTTTGGGAGTTATTAAGATTCTTTTATAATGACTGGTTAGTGAAAATGAACTCTGTGATTCTCCTCCCCTCTCTGCTGTCTTAGAGAACACCATCAGGCAGATGGGTAACATGCCCATGACATCTCAGTAAATGTATTCTCACTGGTGACTTTGTTCTCTTACAGAACTTACTCTAAGTCTTTCTCTTCACTGCCATTCATGCTTTGTTTTATTTCTGCTTTAGTAAAAGAAAAATGATTATAAACTATCTTGAACATATTATAAAGATTTATAACACCTAGAGAATATGTATGTAGCCAGAACTTTAACTTTTTTATTTCTTAAAATACATCTTGGTGACGTCATGATGTGGCTTCCATGAGATGAGATTCTCATTTACGATGCAGGGATGGAACTGTAGCCTGGGCTGGCATGAAACTCACAGTGCCCCTGCCTCAGCTTCCTGATTGCTGGGGTTGTAGGAATGCACTATCACATCTACTGTGATTTCTAAACTAGCTAAGAAAAAAATGTTTAAATATATCCTTGTTACGTGTTTAGAAGATGCCAGAACTTTACAACCATACATCTAGCTGTCATCCAACAACTGGACATATCTTACAAATGGAACTTTATACAAAACTGTTAAAAAAAGTAATAAACAACCATTTTGCAATTTAAGTCTCTCTCAGACCATTAAATTACAAAAGAAAAACCCAGAATAATTCACTATAATCTTGCCGGTTAGGGCCTGAAGAGAGGACTAGGTGGTCAGGAGAACTTGCTGTGCAATCACTAGGACCTGGCATTCAGTCCAGCAGTGGTCTATAACTCCATCTGGGAGTAGTGTGCAGGCAGGAAAATGGCTGGGGCTTGCTGCCTTCCAGGCCAGTGAAGGAAACATAATCCCCTGGCCTAGAATATCAAGAGACATTGCTTCAAGAGATAGAAAAGACACTGGGTCTCTTCTTCTGGTCACTCTGTGTGTGCACACATAGATGTGCTGAAACCCCTAGATGGAGAGACACAACAGATAAGCAAGTCTCTCAAAACTAAACTAAGCTGAAACTGCCAATTGTTTGTCAGTGAAGAGGATTAAAATTCCATCAC